ATCGGGAGGGAGTATTATATTTAATGAAAAATAATTAACACTTATTATAATGGAAGTTTCGTAATGATCCCTCTTTTAATATTTATAAATCTTTAACTATTTTTAAGTTTATTATTGTAAAAGTGTCCCTCTGAGGCTCTGAGTATGCACATGGGTGATCTAACTAACTGCCTAGGATTCTTTGGATATGCAATTACTAGTTACAACTCCCTTCGTTCATGTCATGTCGTGTCATTTGAATTTTCACCGAGGTTTTTAATCAAGGAAGAATGACATTTAAAGTATTAATAAAAGTTTATAAATTTGCCTTATAAAAACATAGATATTAAAGTTTAACTTTTAAAAAATAATATGTCAGCTTTTATAATAAGAAGATTTGTATTTTTACAATAACTTATACATACGAGTAATTATTTTTAAGGTACTCCCTCGTCCCAATTTAGTTGCCATTTATAAGAATTTTTTGATGAAATATGCATACGAGTAATTACTTTTAAGGTAATTTTTTTCCACAGGGATCACATTAAAATTAATTGAAGACCAAGTTCTTAGAATTATTACATTTGGCCGTTCTTAATTATCGTTTAAGTGTTTCAAAATAGTTTTTTCTGTCATTCTCACTAAAGATTAATTGGATCTTTTCATTCCCATGATGTATGAAGCACGTTTCTTCAATCAGGAGTTCCATCGACCCTTACACAAAGCAACTGGTCCCACGAATGAATTAGGAAGAATGACAATTAAGGATCTTCTATGAATATTAATTTCAATTACGGATCATAAAATTTTAAAATTTAGTTAAGGACCATAGTCTTTAATTGTGATAAAAAAATATAGTTTGTGAGATGAAATTCACTATTATCACTTGAGAATTCACTAACCCAACTTAAAAAAATTGATAGCGTCTAGTGTGAAAACATGAAACCCCACTTAAAAATCAATTGTTTAGCAAAAAACGTCACTTAGGAATTCATTAACTCAACTTAAAAAAATTTCTAACATATATTGTAAAAACATAAAACTCCACTTGAGAATCGGTTGTTTAATAAAAAACACCAATTTAGACAAGTCACTTTTTTTAAACAATTGATCTCAAGTAGGGTTTCATATTTTCACAATATACGTTAAAATTTTTTTCAAACCGGGTTAGTAATTTTTAGGTGGAGCTTTTGGTTAAATATTCATTCTCAAGTAAGTTTCATGTGTTTTCACAATATATATTAGTAATTTTTCAAGTTGGGTTAGTGAATCCCTAAGTCGTGTTAGTGAATCCCACCTTACAAACTATTTTGTTAGCACAATTAAGGACCATGATCCTGAATTGAAATTTTAAAATTTATTATCCATAATTAAAATTAATATTCTTAAAAAATTCTTAATTGTCATTCCCCAACGAATTGTTGTCCTGCTTTTTCTTTTACCAACCACCAATTATTGTCCTACTTATCGTCCAATTTAACTCTCCAAATATCTCTTCACCTTTTTTTTATCCTTTAATTTAACTCTTTAGTACATTTGAATGAAGGAAGAATGATAGACGAATTTTAAGAGAATTAAATAATTTAAATTAAGCCTCAAATGTTAAAATTTAAAATTTATAAGTTTAGTTCTCAATTTTTAATTTTATTATTATAATAAATTATAATTTATTTTTTAAATTTTAATATAGTTGAAGATAAATAAATTATTTTTTATTAAAATTTTAGAATATAAGTTATAAAAGTCATCACAATAAAATTACAAAATTAAAGTCAAACTTATAAATTATTGAAGTTTGGCATTTAAAATCTAATTTAAATTATTGATCTCCTATAACCCATTTGTCATTCCACTCTTGAAGAAATATGTGTGAAAAAATATTTTTGCTACGAAAAAAACCATGCTCTAATATAATCTCACTCTTTCCAACTAATTTCTTAACAAAAAATAAATATATTGAATAAATTTAAAAATATCATTGTATTAACATGGAAGATTAAGTTATAACCTGGGTAACACCTTAAAAACTGTTAATGATAATTTTTTTTAATAAAAAAGTATCCTCTATGTCAATTATAAGATAATTTAAATAACATTACACATACCTATAAAACATATAATGATATTTTATAAATTTATTTTTCAAAACAAAAATACTTTCTCCATCCAAAGTTAAGATAGTTTGAGAAATATTATTGTATCAATAAATATAATAATGATACTTTAGCAACTTATTTTTTTTAAATAAACTGTAAACTTTTAACAATACCCTTATATTATTAATCGTTACAACAATACTTCAAATCTTTCTCTACTCAAGGGTAATGTTAAAAAATTATTATTAATAAAATTTTATTTTTTTTTAAATTGTTTCAAATTTTTTGATAAAAATTTTCTTTAATGTTCTCTTATAATTTAGATTGAAGAGAGTATAAACTTTAAAAATATTATTCATTTAATGAAACTTTAAAAGGACAATTATTTCAATTCTCTATTCTATTGTAGAATAATATTTAAAAATATAATTAATGAACTTTATTTTTATTTAAATTATTTTATATTTAAATAATAAAATTTCTTCAACATTGCCTTATAATTTGGATGAGCAGCATCCCTTTCTTTAGGGATTGTATATTAAAATATAAATTTTTTTAATATTTTAAGATATATTATTATATTGTTTTAAAAAAATATCATAATGATAATTATTTTATATTAATTTTTAAATAAAATATTTTTTAAATAGAGAGAAATATAAAAAGTTACTATTAATTAAAGATATATAATTATTTACTAAAAATGAGATTTGGTTAAAATCCCTTTGCAATCATTTCCACGCGTCTTTTATTTATTTCTTTTCCCTCACCTTTTTTTCCTTTTGTGGCCCAATTTTCATCAGCAATGAGACCGGGAACAGCACAGATGGTCGGAGACTGCCTCATATGACAAATCCACCATTTCACGTCCAGCGTCCTGTGGACCGTCCAAGCAACTAACTATTCAAGGATTTCGTTTCGCACGAAATCTAAATATGATTTTATTTTATACTTTTAACAATTTTTTATTTTCTAGTCCGAGCATAAGTGGTCCTTTCTCTGTACACACATTGAAAACGTATCTGCCAGAATCTATGATAAATCAACCTGGATTCCTCTCATTGTTAAAATAAAATAATAAAATAAAATAATTAGACCTCATCACAACAACGAGTACTAAAGCACACCTGATTTGCCAATACCATCGTCTAGCTTGGAAGGAGGGGCGGTAAAGAAGGATTGTAATGAATTCAATTTTAAAAAATTGGATAATTATTCAACTTAAAGATCTTTAATAAAAAACATGTATGAGCAAAGGGGAAGAAAACATTAATTACAGAATTTTAACTTCTTTTAACCGCAAGTTGAATAATGTAGAACTTACTTAAATAACAAGTTTATTTATGAATTTAACAAAGGAATAATTAATTTGTGGTTATTTATTATTTTTTAATTTCAATGAAGTCTTTATAGTTTATTTTGTTTGAATTGAACCCTTGTAGTTTGATCCATTATACAAATTAACTCTTGAATGTTAAAATTATTAATGAATAAAAAAATCATAAATACCTACAAATTAATTTTTTCTTTAACAAATTCACTATAATATATTCAAACTATTATATCTAATTTTATATACAAGTCACATTTAATTATATCATTATAGTAAAGAAGATATGTTATCTTTAAAAATATTTTCTCAATCATATATAATCTTTTATTCTATTTATATGAAATGAGAGAGTTAGATTAAAAAATTAACATTTGACCAAAAAAATTAAAAAATAACTAATACTATTTTTTTTTTACAAAAGAATCTCAATTTTTTATGGAAATAAATTATATATAGCGCAAGATAAAATATTTGTCTTTTGTTATGCAAATAATGAATTAGAAAAGAAGATATATATGGAGTAGAAATGGAGATAAAAGACTGAGAAAATTTTCTTTGGATTATTATCCTTTATAATAAATAACATGCTCAATTTACATACCTGATTTTATATTAAGAATTATACAAATGATAATAATAAATAAAAAAATTAACACTTATTATATTGAAAGTTTGGCAAGAAAAGATGAAGGGGTGAAGGAAATGATTAACACTTTTATATTCATTATATCTTTAATTATTTTTAAGGTTATTATTATAAAAGTGACCATCTCAGAGTATGCGTGGGGTAATCTTACCAATCGAACCGGCTTGGATTCTCTGGATATGCAATTACTAGGATTTTTTTTATTAATATACTGCAAACAAGAAAAAATTTATCGTAAAAATATTTAATCTAAATGCTACATTAAAAATTATTCCTATTGATAATAAGTTTGTGAGTATGAAGAAATCACTCAAGTCAAGAATGATTTTATAATTAAAAATATTTTTTTAATAAATGAAAAGTGAAATCGTTTATTGGGCAAATGATTTTAGTTTTTTTATTAATGTGATATTTTATTTACTTTTAATTGTGAGAATATCTGCTTTCCTTTCTTGCTTTGCTTTTTCCACATGATTCATTTAACATGAGATAAATGGCCGCTTATTAATGTTTCTTTGGCACTTAAAGAGTTTGATAGAACATTTGAGTACTTGTGATGATATTGAAGACATACCTAACAATGGATCCAACGTATTAGTAGTGATATTGGGTATGCGGTAAGTTTGCACCTTCTTCCATTAGCGCCATTGACTAGGAGTGGGTAAGTTGAAAAGTGATGATGAGGAGGGTGGTATGTAATAAGGCTCTAGTTGAATAGGATTGAGAGAAGTGAAAAGGGTGATGATAATGATAAGCTAGCATGTAATGAGACTGACTAAAATTTTGAGGCTCTTGTTTTCTTACATTTACATTTTCATTTTCAATTGGTGGTTGGGTAGATAAACGGCCACTACATCGTTTGCTCAGTCTATCTCAAAATTTGTAGATGAGGCAATTCAACTCTTGATAGAGTATGTTGAGGATTTCTATTAAATTGTTGTTCTCTCATTACAAGTAAGATGTTGCATTAGTTGTGAGCAATTCTATCTAAATAATCAATGAAATGAGAGTATTTTGAATGAGAATTAATCATTAGTCAGTATAAATTCTCTGTTATTTCAGTCTAAAATAAACAATAAAACATTATTATATTATAACAATTTTTTATAAAGAAAAAAGATGGTATTAGTAGAAGAAGATGAAAACATATCACATATCTAGTATTACTACTAATAAGTTAAATTCATTGTTGGTATATTTTCAATACCATTGCATATACTTAGATGTTTTATCAAATTTGAAGGTTGGAGCAACATTAACAATATTCAACGACCATTTATCTCATACTTAAATGAATCACACAGGAAAAGTAAAATGAAAAGAAAAAACAAAGATTCTCACAGTTAACAATAAATAAATAGTCATGTTAATAAAAAAACTGAAATCGTTCACCTAGTAAATAATTTTATTTTTTATTAAATAAAAAAATAATTTTTAATTATAAAATTATTTTTGACTTAAATAATTTGTTTATAATAACAAATTCGTTTTCAATATGAATGATTTTTAATGTAATATTTAGATAAATATTTTTTATAGAGCAGCATTGCAATAATTTTTTTATTGTTGGTAAAAAATCTCAATCACTAGTGATGATTCCCTTGTTCATGCCATGCCATGTAATGTCATTTTAATTTCCACAACGTGTGTTCAGGCCTTTAACTAAAGCAACGTGGTCCCCACGGATCAATTAATGTCCCCTCCCTCTTCATTATTATCTCGCCCAAGGCACTCCCTGTCTCTCTCGTCCCAATTTAATTACCAATTACCATCATAAGAAAATATAAAAAAAAATTAGATGGAAGTAAATTTTAATAAATATACTTTCAATTAACGTAAGTGGTAGAGATTCCTCAAGAATTCGAATTTCAAAATTTCCCCATGACCCTCCACCATCATGTCGAACGCGTATAAAGTAAATTGAATTCTTTTGGTCTCACGAAAAATGGACTTGATTTTTCAGTTTCGTTATTATTTATAACTAATACTCAACATTTTCTATATATAATTTCCAAACTCACATTGTTCTATACAGTAAAAAAAATTTATAAAAAAACTACAAATGTCCTACATTATGAATAAAATAGTTTATAGAAAATGTTTTTCCATCACCGGAGGCGGTATTATTTGAAAGAATGACAGTAAAGCTGAAAGGATAAAAAATAACAGTTACTTGGGTCCTTAAAAAATATAAAATATTTTTTAAAAAGTTGAATGTTAAAAAATATAAAATATTTTTAATTTTTTGAAATATAATTATTGTCTTTTTTTAAGTGTCCCTATTGAAGAATGATTTTATATTTATTATAAGGTATTTAATAAGAGTAAATATAAAAAAGATAAGGTTAATTTGACAATAGGTAACTAGGCGAGATTTGATTAAAAATGCCTTATATTTTTTATCTGAGGGAATACTAGGTTTTAAATAAATTTTTTAAAACATAAATTACATAAATTAATTCATAATGTTATAAATAAAAATTTCAATTATAAATTGATAGTTATATTTAAAATTTAAAATATTTTATTTTCAATTTTAATTCCAAAATTTGTATTATTTGAATCGATGACTTGAATATATACTCAAACAAATGAATGATATCATTTATGATCTACTGATGGTATAATTTGCTGTAAATTCTACATTTTTTACATTAATGTTAACGTTAATAGATCTAGTTGTCAAAATAAAAAAGGATGTTACTATATCTGAAAAATATTAATTTTAAATGTTATTTTACAAATACTTAACGTTTTGGTAATGTACAACAATATCCTCCACCACCTTTCAAATCATATAATAGAGCACGCCCCACCTGTATTGATCACATCTTCTCTGCTGTTGAACTTTCCGAGCATTCTCACTGTTTTGAGTAATATCACTCATTCTCCAAAGAGATCATGGCCGAAGCACTTCTGTCTGCTGTCTTCAATGTGATTTTGGAGAGGTTAACACCTCACCAAGGTGGCTTGATCAACTTGATTTGTGGAAAGAAACTCGACAACAAGATCCTTCAGCGTTTGAAGCCGTCCCTGATTGCTGCAAGAGCCGTGCTCAATGATGCTGAACTCAAACAACTCACCGATCCTGCTGTCAAAGATTGGCTTGATGAACTGAAAGATGCTGCTTATGACCTGGAAGACTTGATGGATGAGATTTCCACACGAGCTGCCACTCAGAAAAAGGTGCCCTGTTTCTCCTTTGCTTCTCTTGGTTTGCGTGATACGAGCCTGGCAAATAAGTTAGAAGCCATATCTGATAGAATTGAACATATTGTGGCACTCAAAGATGCCCTTGATTTGAAGAAGACAAGTGGAACTGAAACTTTGTCATGGAGGCCTCCAGTTATGTCTCATGTGAAAGTCTCTGATATTTATGGAAGGAAGAAAGAAAAAGAAGATCTAATTAAGCTTCTGTTCGATGATGATGATGGTGATCAGTTGTCTATAATCCCTATCGTGGGCATGGGCGGGGTTGGGAAGACCACCTTAGTCCAACTAGTTTATAATGATAATGATGTGAAGCAAAAATTTGATCTTACTGCATGGGTTTGCGTTTCTGAAGCATTTGATCATTTGAAAATAGCACAGTCTATAATTAAATCCATCAGTCCTGATTTTATTTGTGATAATATGGATTTAAGTCTTCTTCAACATCATTTGGTCAAAAAGTTAGAAAGGAAAAAGTTTTTGGTTGTTCTTGATGATGTTTGGAATGACAAAATCACTGATTGGGATACTTTAAAGAATTTGCTTCAGAATGGAGTGGAAGGATGCAAAATTCTTGTTACAACTCGCCATGAGAGTGTTGCTTTGATAGCTAAAACCATCTCATCATTTTATCGCCTCAATGTCTTGTCTGATGAAGATTGTTTGTCAATTTTTGCTACACATGCTTTCCATTCTAGCGACTCAAATGTGAAATGCTTAGAAAAAATTGGGATCGATGTTGCTAGCAAGTGTAAAGGATTGCCTTTAGCTGCAAAAGTACTCGGGGGAGTATTTCGATCAAAACCTGACTCCGAAGATTGGAATAGTGTATTGAAAAATGTCATGTGGGATTTATCGGACAACGAGATCATTCCTGCCTCAAGAGTCAGTTATTATTATCTCCCTCCTCATTTAAAACAATGCTTTGCGTATTGTTCTTTGTTCCCAGAGGATTATACATTTCGTAAGGAGGAATTAATCTTGATGTGGATGGCGGAAGGTTTTTTTGCAATCGCCAAAGGGGAATATGACTTTAGAAGAAGTTGGTTGTGAGTACTTTGATGATTTAACTTCAAGATCATTCTTTCAACCCTTACAAACAAGTATTGAGTACTCTCGTCTTAGGTTAAAACAAAGAAGTGAGTTGTTTGTCATGCATGATCTCATTCATGACTTAGCAACTCATGTTGCTGGAGACTTCTACTTTCGGTTAGAGAAGAATGGAAACAAAGTTGATAAGAAGACACGCCATTTGTCATGCAACTATCAGAATTATGCATGCTTGGACCATGAGTTTTTCAAAAAAATAAAATCCTTACGAACATTTATAGGATTGGAATTTTTCAATATCCCCAAGTCTGTTGGAAATGCTCCTCATAGTCTACCATCAAATATGAAGTGCTTGCGAATGTTGTCATTTCGAGGTTCGCATGCATCAAGGGTAGTGCTTGATTCTATAGGGGAATTCATCCATTTGCGCTATTTGGATATTTCAGGCACAAGTATTGAAAGTTTGCCAGGTTCAACATGTAAGATGTATAATTTACAGACGTTGATGTTGCTTGGATGTTGGTTTCTTAAGATGCTGCCAGATGAGATGCAAGATCTTGTAAATCTATGCCATTTGGATCTGTCCTTTTCAGGCAGGATTGTAAGTTTGCCTAACTCATTGTGCAAATTATACAATCTACAAACATTGAAGTTACAAAATTGTCGGAGTCTGCAGATGTTGCCAAGTGATACACAAGATCTTGTAAAGTTGCGGCATCTTGATGTTAGAAACACTGGTTTGAAAGAAATGCCGAGGGGATTGGGCAAGTTAAAAAAATTGCAATTTTTGAGTGACTTTGTTGTTGGAAAAGAGCAGGGGATCAATATTGGAGAATTGGGAGCCATGACCAATTTAAAGGGTTTGGTTGTAATTAATAAATTAGAGAATGTCAAGAATGGAAATGAAGCCTATGAAGCGAGGATGACAGAGAAGAAGCACATTAAGGATCTAACATTATCATGGTCAAAGGATGACGGCGTGGACGATACAGCAAGAGAGAGAGATATTTTGGACAAGCTTCAGCCTCATTGGGATTTAGAAGGATTAGAAATTGAGAGGTATAGGGGCACAACATTTTCGGATTGGTTGGGGAGTCCTTGCTACCACAACGTGACTTGGTTGCGACTGGATAATTGCAAAAACTGTTGCATGCTTCCCCCCCTTGGGCAGCTCCCGGCTCTAAGGAGATTATATATTGAAGGATTAGAAAGTATTGAGAAGATTGGTGAAGAGTTTTTGAAGGCCAATGAATGTGCTCCCATGATACCTTTTCCGTCTCTTGAATGTCTTGAGTTTAGAAGGATGACTTCGTGGAAAGAATGGCATTCCATTGACACGGAAGCTTTCCCTAAACTCCAACAACTCACAATAAGTGGCTGTTCTGAACTAGTTAGAAATTTGCCCAGCCAATTGCTTTCTCTGAAATCTCTAGGGATTTATTGGTGTCCATTGCTAGCTTTTTGTATCCCGAGGTGTCCCGAAATTCAGGATTTATGGATACGTGGATGTGGAAATATGGGGTGGCTAGAGAAAGAGTTACCTCCTTCCCTTAGGAGGCTAGAAATCACAAGATGTCGGATGTTGGAATCACTGTTGGAGGCACTCTCTAACCATTTGCATCTTCAACGATTAATTATTGGGGAATGCTCTGATACATCACCTCTTATGATTCATTTGCCACCATCATTACAGCGGTTAGAGATAGACAAGTGTCAGAATGTTGATTTTGTGTTGAGTTCAACTGCTCCTCTACAAAATCTCCAATCTATAACTATTGGGTTGGGGTGTAATATTGTGAAGTTTATGTCGGATGACATGGAAGGTCTTCTCCCAAATTTAAAAGAGCTACATATTGATTGGTGTGCAGAGATGGAAGCATTTCCAGAGGGGATCCTTGTGCCAAGCTTGAGGGAACTTCATATTGTAGGGTGTGACAAGCTATTATCCCATCAAGCAGAGTGGCACCTCCTAACTAATATTACTTACCTTCTTATTCGTGGTTCAAATGTCAAGTGATTCCCGGAGGGCTTCTCTCTTCCTGCCACTCTCACCACTCTGGAGCTCGACTCCTTCGACGACTTGGAGACGTTGGATTGCACTGGACTTGAGCATCTAACCTCCCTCCAACAATTCAACATCGTGACTTGTTTCAAGCTGGAGAAAATGTCAGGAGAAAAGCTGCCTTCTTCTTTAAGAAAGCTTTGCATTAGGTGTTGTCCGCTTGGAGAAAAATACCACAGGAAGGATGAAGATCTTATGCGCCGCATATCCCACATCCCACTCATCGATGCATAAGTATTCCAACGCAGCTAAGATACAGTTATCCATATGGGTACTTATTCTCACTCCCTTGTTCCAATATTGCAACTTTAAATTTTAAGTTTTATGAAAATTCCTAATTATCCACAACAACGTATTTATTGGAAGCATTTTCCACATCTTGTCCCTTGGTAATTTAATTTCTTGGATATTATGGATTTTTTTGTTTTACTTATTTGTTGTGTAGCATAGCCCAGTTTTTTCATTCATTCTTTTACCTTGTTTTTACAATTTGTTGCATTTTTTTTAATTTTGATAAATTCACTTGGTCTGTATATTCGTGTTGATTACAATTTAATTGAGACAATTGCTTTGTCCCCCACAGAAAATATTGCGCTCCAATCGTCTGATTTTAACTGGCTTGTACTCATCATTTTTGGTTTGAACGAAAACTGCTCCTTGATGATTTCGGTCTTGAGAAATTTAATTATTGTCATGATTTTCTGGAGAAAACGTTGTACAATTGTAACTGTTTTTCGTATTACTTGTATTTCGTTTTTTCTTTAAATAATTAATATGGTGTATATAAATATTTATAATGACTTTATACTCTGTTCTTGTTATTTCCCTAATGAATTAAATGACTATAAGCAGTGGCGGAGGGCGGGGGACTAGCAAGGGCATGGTTCTCCTAATTTTTTTTTTTATTATTATATAGGTGTTACATACTTTCAGTCCTCTAAAATTTATGAAAATTTTATAGTATATATGTTTTTTAATCTTGGCCCTTTTTGTTCTTCAATGTTGGCTTCGCCCTTCACTATAAGTATTAATTATTTTCATGATTTTCAGGATGAATATTGTACAATTGTAACTGTTTTTCATATCACTTGTATTTCGTTGTTCTTTTGTTAATTAATATATTTTATATTAATATTTATAATGATTTTATAGTTTGTACTCTGTTCTTGTTATTTCTCTAATGAATTAATGAATTAAATGACTATAAGTACGAGTGCATTTTTAGAACTAAACTATGTACATATATATAAACTATAATAATTTCCTGCTTCATGAATTAAATTGAGGTAACAATCTCGTGTTTATTTTAAATTATTATATTGTAAGTATTTGACAACATTGCTGGCACAATATATATATATATATATATATATGTGTGTGTGTGTGTGTGTGTGTGTGTGTGTGGCTCAAAGCATTAATTCTTTATATAATAAAAGATATAACGCATTTACACAGTCAATTATATTTACAATTTCATTTCTTTAAATATTAGTGAAGTAATTCGCTTGGTCTCAAAATTATTCAATCATATTGAAGGTACATTCTAGAGAAGTTTTTATTTATGTATTTTTTTTTATTTTTTCTATTTGAGATTTCTTATTCTGTAATTTTTATTAATTATGAGTTCATTGCAGGCGGTGTCCATCTTGATATGAGCTAGTTCTAATTGGTGAAAACAACATATAGTGCTTCTTCTTCACAAGATGTAATGTTGTGATTAAGATCCTTCATATATTCCTATTCTAATGAGGTTTCAACTCAACCAAAAAGCTTTTGATTTCTTCATTCTCTCATAATCTGCTTGTTTAAATATTCTTATTATGGGTTTATTTAAAATGTTGCAGCAGCAAAGAGGACAGAAAGGGATTTGCAAACTTGAATTTGTACTGAGGAGAAAATGTCAATGAAATCCGATAGGGTCTATGTCCTCTTGTTCACTAAGTTCCTGATCATACTCATGAGCATTTTGTTTTCTTTTCTAAAATTGTTTTCGGATAAGTTCATAAAGACTTGTACATTGTGTATTGTATTGTGATTGTTCGTTACTTTTAAAATTCCCAGGCTTCATGCTTGGGGACAGAATGTAGGGTTCAATTTTTGAATCCAAACCTCTATATATTAATATCATGGTGTTATTGTTTGATCTTATTTTATTTTATTTTTAAATTCCAGACCATCGAAAGGATTATATTTAAAAAAGTAATAAGGAATAATATACTCTTTTCAATCAAGCCAACAAGCTTCTTTACAAAAAGGATATTATATGAGTTCTTTTATAGTAGAAATTTAAATTCCTCTCTTCCAAATCTTTGCTTATTCTGTGTAGTGATCATATGACAAGGGTGATGATCACATAAAACATATGTGAAAACCATGTTAAAAAGTGTTAAAACTCAATTGAATATTTAACTGATTCATAGATTAATTAGAAAATTGCAGTTCCGCACTAACTTGTGTGTACAATAGTAAAGAGGTTTAATGCATTTTTATGAATGTATATTAAATAGCTAGCTTTTTCTAATTGAGTGCCTTGTTATTTAGAGCATTGGATTGTTGCTGAAACATTTGAAGATATTATCAAAGTACAACAATTGACCCTTTTTGTGCCAAGAATGCAAAGTTATTTCTAAATGTCTAAATAGCATATAAAAAGCAACCCTTACCTTATCTCTTTGCAATGTAAATTCAAAAACTTTCTAATTGTAATTGCTGCGTCAATTTTTAAAACTTGTCAAATAAATATCTAAATCCTACATGGACCATAATTTTCTAGGTTGTTTTGTATATTACTTTTCCACAGTGCTGCTACTTTTCCATATCTCATTCACTGACTGACTTGAGTAAATGATTCCTAAAGATTGAATTTTCCAAGCGCATGGATTATTATGCAATATAATTAATGATCTTGATAAGGACGTAAAGAATTTTTATAATTTTTTGGATAAACTAATTAACGATTAAAGTTAATTTTTTTTAATAATAAAGTGCTCACTGCATCATTTTTAAATGTTAAAAAAAAAAATTGCACCACATGTAAGTTTTGGAAGCATACTTCTAAACAAATAGTTGAGAGGCAAAAGTGCACTTAAATCTTAAATCCTTCATAAATCATCTTTTAAATATAAACAATTATGAAATTTATAGGTAATTTGTAAACTAAAATTGTATGATAAATTACAAGTTTCCTTCCAAAATAAATAAGTTGAGAGACTTGCATATCTTAAAAGTTAACTTGTAAATTGTGCACGAATATTCATAAATTATAATATTATTTAAATTACCAAATATTAAAGTATTAATATTGTACTAAGATGTTATTTAAAAATAATATTTTAATTACTTATATGTGTTGTTGCTAGCAATGATGATATGATGCTAACCTAGTAGCCGATTAAAATGATTGCTTAAAGTAATATTTTGGTTTTTTTATATGAATAAAAAATAATATTATTATATTGAAAGTTATCTATAATTTAAGGTACTTAATTAATATTAATGTTCTTATAAAAATATTTTTTTATAATTTTTTGGTCTTTTTTATAATTTTCTAGATCATTCTCTATGACTTTTTGGGCCAACTGTTGGTCAAATTAACAAGTATTAAATGGAGGGATAATATTGATCCTTAAGAAAATTGTTTAAGGGCACATTGCCCCACCCTTCATTACAAGTGCCTTGCTCTTCTAAAAAAAATTCAAGGATAAATTAAGTTTTTTATCTTTTTTATTATTTTGATAAATTCCCAAATGATCATACACACACATATATAATTGTAACAACTATTTTCCATGTTACTTGTACTTCGTTTTCCTTTCGATAATTTAATATGTTGTGTGTGTTGTGACTTTGTACCCTTATTTTCTTATTTTCCTAATGAAATTACATCACCATAAGTACCCATTTTAAGAACTAACTAAAGTATCATAATTTGCAACTTCATGAATTAAGTTGAAGCAACAATCTCATGTGTATTTTAAATTATTGTAAATATTTGATAACAGTATCAGAGCTGGCTAATACACACACATATTTGATGGGGCTCAAAGCATTAATTCATCAACACATTTACGTAGTCCATTATATTTACAATTCAATTATTTTAAAGATTAGTGAAGCAGTCTGCTTGGTCTCAAAATTATGAAGGGATGCATATTCCCTGAAGTTGATATCAATCATTCAATCTCACTTCTTAAGACATGCTTCCTTGTATATCTTGTGGCTCATACATTATTCAATCATGTAACTTGAAGGTACACTAGACAAGTTTCTGTTTATTTACTTCTTTTTTTAAAAAAAAATTCTCTGTTTGAGTTTATTCTTATTAATTATGGGTTGGTTGCAGGTAGTGTCAACTTGATGTGAGCAGTTCTATTAATTGATGAAAGCAGCATAGTGATTCTTCTTCAAAAGGTGTAATGTTGTAATTAAGATCCTTCATATTTATACATTCCTATTCTCATTAGGTTTGAACTCAACGAAGGCTTTAATTTGATTTCTTTATTCTTTGAAAACTGCCTGTTTAAATGTTCTTATATCATGGGTTTGTTTAATGCAGAAAGAGCAAAAAAGACTGAAAGGGATTTGGAGACTTGAACCTATATTGAGAAGAAAAGCTCATTGAAATATGACGTAGTCCATATCCTCTCCTTCATTGATCTTTTGATTCCCAATAAGTGTTCTTCATGAGACTTGAAAGCATTTTCGTTTCTTTTCTAAAGATGTTTTTGTTAGCGAGATATTCTCAAAAATAGTTTAGATATTATTTGTATATATTATTTAATATAGAGAATATAACAACTATAGGAAGTATAGCATAACAGAAAGATCTCTCGATTATTCTTTGATGTGTATATATATATCCGTCTTCCAGTTTGAATAAAGTACTCGAAAATCATTACCTCACTAGTTTGAACATGGTATTAGAGCAAAATCACAAATTAACCCATTCTTTCTCT